CCCTGGGCTTCTGGAAGAGCAGACAATGTTCTCTTAACCATCTCTCTATCCCCCAAGCCATGCTTTAAATAAAGAGATTTATCTGTAATTATATCTAGATGTGTGTCTGCATTTGGGTATGTGCACACATGTGCAAGTACCTGTGGAAGCCAAAGGTATTGGAGCCCCAGAAACTGGAGTTACAGACAGTTGTGAGGTGCCTGAATTGGGTGCTAGGAACTAAACTCAGGCTCTCTGGAAAAGCAAGCAAGTGTTCTTAACCTCTGAGCAATCTCTCCAGCCCCCGGGACCTGCTTTTATAAAGCAGTCTTTCTAAAACACATTTTGAAGCCCTCATACAGGAAATCATATGACCTCTAGAGTAGGTCATATGAGTACCAAAGTAAGCTCATGGAGAGGCCTTCCTGGGATTTGAGGGCCTTGCACTGGTACCTGCTGAGACTGGGAAGTGGGTTGTGGAAATTCACAGCCCATCCCAGCCCTCTTTCCTCCTGCCCTCCATACCCAATCACATATCAAACATGTGTGGGAATGCGCATGTGCCTATGAGATTCGCTCTGTATGAGCTTGCATTTTCCACAGTAGAAGAAAAAAACTATTTGGATGCAGTGTGGTGGCTGGGACCAGCAATGGGAGCAGACTCCTCTGGGTCACACAAAGACATCATGCTTTCAGACTTTCTTTGAGCACAGGAATGAATGATCAGATAGGAAGTTCATGTTCAACCAGACTTTGTCCTCAGGCTACACAGAAGGTCAGATGACACACGCCACTCTATCTTCACAATAATTCCTGTGACTCAAGTCACAACCTTCAGCAGGGAGCCATCACGTCCCTCTCCTTGAAGTGGCCCAGGAGACCTATTGTTACCAGATGCTTTCTGTACCAGGGGAACAGGCCAGTGCTTACTGGAACCTGAGCCTACCTAAGAGCCCACCTTACTGTGGAACTTCATGGGGCTTCATGGGGCTTCATGGAGCAGGCTGTTTCAGGGCTCCACCTGCTGCATGGTCTCTGAACAGCTCCTGATTGATCCTCCTTTTGATCTGGTGATCCTTTTCCACCAGCAGAAGTCACACTGCTCCCACTGATCACTGTTGACCTTTATTGCCACTGTTTTCTTGTACCCAAGCTTAAAGCTGTTGTTCGTCTTTTTGATTCGCCCATTCCTGAAATTAGGTTTATTTTAGAAACTCACAGCTTATTTAACAAAGCAAAACTTCATTCTCGTTTAGTCTTTGTTTGTTTTGAGACAAGTTCTCACTATGTAGTCCTGACTAGCCCAGAACCCTCTTTGTAGACCAGGCTGGCCTGGAACTCACAGAGATCTGCCTGCCTCTGCCTCCACCTCTGGAGCACTAGGATTAAAAGTGTGTACCACCATGTTCAACAAAGGAAAATCTTTGACTTTTTAATCCATAGGTTAAAGGAGGAAGTCATTTGATTATATTAATATATTCAGCAAAAGGCATATGATAAACCACAACATCCATCGATAAAACTTCTTAGTAATCGCCTCCAGAAAGAATCCCTAAAAATCTGAAAATGGTGGCTGCAAATTTACTACCAATGCCTCTAATAAAGTAAGCATGGGATTACACCCACAGTCACCTGCCAGAGCAGTTGTCTTTGCTGGTATATAAAAACAGGTATGTTCATAGTAGAGATGAGTCCATGGCTCTTCTCAGAACATTTCAATAACAACAGTCCTTGAATGTTTAGGAGATGTTGTGATTGTGTGGTTTGGTTTTCTAAAGCACACACATTATAAATGTGAAGACATTTCTTTCCCTCCTTTGACCATCTCTGGAACTTAGCTTCTCTCTATTGTCAACAATCTCCGTTTAATGCATGAGTTTTTCTTAATGACACAATCAAATACAATCTAGAAAGCAAGGTGACAATCATGAACAGCAAAACTTGTGTATCTTTAGACAATACTTCTTCAAAGTAAAGATGGTCTTAGCAGACTCTCACGCAAAGTGCGCAGTGGTCTTCACAATGTTTCAGGGAAACAGGGACCCACTGAGTCAAAGGCTTCCCAACAACACCACCAGACTGGAGCTGGAGAAGACTGGACAGCTGCTCTTCCCCAGCACCTGGCTTATGTTACTAAGCTGAAATATCTTCACCATTCCTCAAGCAAGAAGAGCTGACATTGTCCTTAAACGCTGTGCAGAAATCCCCAGGAGGAGGAACTGCCCTCCAGATCTCTTACATCGTCCAGGGTCTGCTAGTCAGGTCTAAAGAGTTCCTTCTAGAAACACCGACAGGACTGACTAGGCTCCAGCTCCTGAGTGGTCCACAGCACAGTACCCATGTCCTCAGGTCACTGTGCTGGAGACCTTAGCCAAAGCTCTTAGACCCAGAGGGCACAAAGCTGACATGGGTAGCCAGCCCCAGCTCTGGGAGCTAGTGGGTCCACAAGCCCTGGTTCCCCCGCTGGAGGTGATCCTGACCTTAAAGACCTCAGGGCTGTTTCCCAGAGCTCAGGCAATACTCTGACCACCCATACCCAGCCAACACATCACGTCACTCTAATGGGAAAGATGAGACACTTATACTTGATGGGTAAGTCACAATCTGGTCCTCTGCCCAAGGTCATCTGGAGTCTACATCATTTCACTGCTTCTCTATTTCTTGCTGTCTGTTTCAAGCTCAGGGAGCACGGCCCACCCTGAACAGTGGCCTCCCTGACACAAGTTCCCAAAAGCAGGGGTAGGCTCTCCAAGTCCACCCTCAGTGGTCCCAAACTGGCAACTGGAGGGGCTCAGACCGGAAGACAGCACTCTGGGATTCAGAAGTCTGTCCATAAGATGCTGAATAACAGAAGTCTAAGATCTGCACTGTCACAATAAGGAAATCCTTTCACAACTGGCTCTGGGCCACTTCTGGTCTTTGTTCTCGAAGACATACTATCTGAATTCAGGATTCGATCCATGAGTTGTACAGCTTCAGGTCATGGCTGAACCAGAAGGAGTCAGCATCCTGTAAGAAGGCTGGTATCTATGTAGCTTCCTCCAGAAAAGTGTCAGTGTGCCTCAGTCTTGTCCTAAAAGCAAACACTTCTGGACAACAGGAAGAGCATCTGCTCAGGTGATGTGAAGGTATGGATACATCCTACTTGCTAGACCACCAGAGCCATGCCCACCCTCAAGGGAAGGACTTTGAGAAAGGATTTGGGGGAGAATATCCTTGGTTGGTTATTTTGGGTCAGAGAGAAAAACTAGCAAGCTGACCACTTAGCTCACCAGCAGTTTCTACTCAGCCCTCAGTGGCCCGTGCCATTACATGCTCTTGGCCAGCAGATACAGATCTGCCACACAGATAGAGCTCCACTACGAAGAAGCAGCACACCCTGATTTCCTGAACTGTACATTTGGTCTTCACTTTCCTGTGGTTTCAGGACTGTCAGTGTACTGGCTGTGGTTGAATATGCTGGGGGTTTGCCCAGGGCCCCTCAGTACCTCAGATTTGAGAGCGGAACTGAAGCAATGATGGGACTTAAGAGGCAACGGCCTGGCTGGGTGTCGAGGCTCATGTCTGTAATCCCAGGACTCGTGGGCTGAGATAGCATTGCTTTGAGTCTGAAGCTAACCTGGGTTACACAAGTAGTTCCAGGTCTGCTTTCCAAGATGCATTTTTGCTGGGTGAGATCTCAGGACCCTTCCACCGGATTCTCTGCACATCAATATTTACAGACCAGGAGAAGGTCTCTCTCTGACCTTCCGAGAGTGGCAATAGGGTTTAAGTTTAAGCAGGATAGGCTGAGGGGTTTTGCATACACAGCTGAGAGAGACAGCTATTCTCCCTTCTAGCTCTCCTCTGCTCTCTGCATCTGAGACCTCCAAAACTGAGCCATTTAACTTTTTTTTTTTAAATCACATAGCTGGGCATGGTGATGTACTCTAATCCCACCACTTGGGAGGCGGAGGCAAGTGGACCTTTGTGAGTCTAAGGCCATCCCTGGAGAACAGCAAGCTCCAGGTCAGTTGAGGATACATGGTGAGAATCTGTCTCAAAACAAACAAAACAAAAACCTATCTGGTTCCCATTTTCCAAGAGACACAGGACTGAGAAATATCAGTGTGTACCAACAGGCAATTCCATGCAATATCATCTCTTATATTTGGAGCAGGCAGAGCAGGGAAGATCACAGGACAGCAGCTTCTCTGGAGCAGTTGTTCTGGCTTGGGCTGCTGAGCATAGCTCAGTGTTTCCCCTCTTCCCTGCCAGAACATCCTAACCCACGGCCATCACTGCCAAGTTCCCAGTCCTCATGAGCACACAGTCAGCACACCTCTGCAGCCCAGTTCTCCCTCTCCGGCTCCAAGGCAGCATCTGGAGGAAGGGGCTTGTCCATGTCCAGACTGTGACCCCAGAGGACCTTTGTGAGCCCCCAGCACACTCCAGACTTAATCTCGAGATTGTGGAAACAGCCACAGGTTTTATCAGAACCATTGACAGGTACCTGAAAAGCCTCAGTGACAAGGTCGAGAACCCTACAGGGGCATTGGGACAGGACAGCTCAGAAGGTCTGTTTTCCTGCCTCAAATAAAGGTAGGGGTCCAGATTCCTAAACAAGCTCACTGTTTTTCTAAGGCCACCAGGGTTGCAGGGGCTTCTGGCACTCGCAGCAAGTCCTTTGGGACCTTCACAAAGCCTGCCTCCTACTGTACCCACAACAAGGCTCTCTCTCAGTCCTCAGCGTCTTCTATTAGTTGAGCACCTGTCGACAAGAGGCTAAGGCTTGCTTCCTGCCGCCCGCTGCCTTCAGCGTGGCAGCCACAGCCCTCCAGTCTCTTATTTGGGTGCTTTGTGCCAGTGGCACATCACCTCTCCACGTTCCCACCCATGCAGCATTTGATGTAAAACCTAAAACAAGTGTAAAAGTTCTGTTTGGTCACAATGTACCACATTTAGTTAGAGTGAGAATAATTTCTAAGTTTTTTCCTAGCAGTCCTACCGTATCATTTTTATTTTAATTTTTTATGGAAATTTTTATGCCAGTCCAAAAGAGCCTCTAAAGTCTTCGGTGCAGCTTTGTACGAAGTAGAGAGTTCTACTTTTGTCCATTTCAGCGACTGTATGAAGCTGTGTTCACTGTCTTTCAGAAAACAGATTAGTGTGAACATGATTTTAGGAAGGTTTAAAGTATTTGTAAGATGCCTACAGATAGGCTCCAGTCATCAAATATAACATCGTATGAACAGTAAAAAACGAAAAACTAAAATCAAAGGGATACCTAAGGTTCAGAAATCACCAGGAGCATCAGCAGCTGAGTTGTGGCGCAGGCCTGAGCCCAAGAGAATAGGACTTGGTTCCACGGGCTAAGACAGATAGTACATGCCATAAGCCGCGACGGGCCCGGCGAGGATCCCAGGAACCGCACCTCCGCCGAACGTAGCCGCGGAACTGTGCAGCTGAGTGCCCAGCGGAAATGGCAGGCCAAACGCCGGCAGTACCGGCTTGGCTGCCAGCTTCAGCTTCTCCAGCTCAGCCTCCTGCAGCCGCTTGGCCTTGGCTCGGCGGTTCTGAAACCAGATCTTGACCTGAGTCTCAGTGAGGCTCAAGCTACTGGAGAACTCGGCGCGCTCAGCAATGGACAAGTACTGCTTCTGGTGAAACTTGCGCTCAAGCGCCAGCAGCTGCGCGGTGGTGAAGGGCGTCCGTGGCTTGCGGTTGTTTTTGTGTTTGCGAAGGGTGCAGGGTGGAGGGCTGGGGGCACCTGAAAGGAAAGAGAAGCAGAGAGCGAGCGCTCAAACCCTGGCTGCACATCCCTATCCCGACACTGTCCCGCCCTCTACAAGGAAGGTTGGTGCTCCGTGGCTCCGTTACAACTCCGCTCAGCGCTCAGTGCTCAGTGCTCAGCGTAACGAGGTCTCCAAAGCCACGTGGATAAGCAAAGCAAAGGGGAAAGGAAGTTGGGGGGGGGGGGGGGCGCTCTAGACTCAGGTCTGCCCTCTCAACCGGGGACTGGCCACTTGTAAAAAAGCTGGGGCGGGAGGCGGCTACAATAACTGAGGATGAGTAGAGTTAGGGCTATATGGAGACTAGTTAGCTGTGGCTAGTATATGCAAAGTGGGTAAGGGGTGCAGAAGCGTGAGCGACCCGGAGTGGAAAAGCATTAGGGGTGTCTGTCCTGGGCTGCGGACCTCGCCCAGGAAGAGACGTGGACGTGGCTATTGGGCCTGTGCACAACGTCGGACTCCCATCACTTAGTTAACCCATCACCAGTTTGCACTTGGGTTGGACGGATTAGTGACTAGTAATTAAGTTCGGAGCCACGGCGCGCATCAACCCTGGACTTCCTTGCCTTGAATGCGCGCGCGCTTTTCAGGGCCTGGGACCAGGACACTGAGCACTTACGTGGGGGGCACGTGTGCGTGACCGGTGGGGGCCAGGCTCCGGGCTTCGAGGCACCCGGCGGCCTCTCCTCCCCCAGCTCCCCAGGCTCGGAGTCCCGTTCGCGCTCAGCTTCCAGTAGTGACTCGACGCTGAAAGGGAGTGGTCCGTGCCCTATGTGGCCCCCTCCGCGTGCTCCGAGCCCCTCCGTGTTCATGTCGAGTGTTGCCTGGGCCATGCATGGGATGGTGGGTGCAGGGTTAGCCGCCCGGTTGGTACTCGCGGGACGCAGCGACGGTTTTTTTTTGCCGGGACCCTGGGCTGGGTGGTTCTCGGGCCCACTCTGCACTCTATAAAAAGGTGGCGCCGCTTTCATGCGCCGCTACCCAATGATCGTTCCAGTCGATGTGCGGGCCTCAGTGCGGGTTGGACTCACTGCTTTCGGGGGCGGGACCGACAGGGAGGGGCGTGGCCGCTGCCTGGGAACCGAGTGCCCCAAGACCTGGGGTGGCATTGTCGCACCCATATCGGGCTTTCGGAACCTACTGCCGTCTGTGGGGGCGGTTGTTGAGCTCCTCCTGCGGGAAAGGCTGAGGGGGAACCCAGGCACCGATGAAGAGATGGCCTCAGCCTTCTGAAGCTGAGGATTGGACAGCTCGCGGGCGCGTATGGTGCAGCCACCCGTCTAGGCATCTTGACCTTGCTCGGATTTCAAGCCTAAGCGCTTAGGCAGAGCGGAGCTTCGGGCTCGCGCTTCCCACAGTGGCGTGGAATGGGGCTGATCGGCTGCTTTTCTTGCTGAGAAACTTGACTCAGGACTATTTTAGTCATAGCGTTCTCTCTGCATTCTGGGGTTCGAATGTGACCAACAGGACTCTGTTTTCTGATCCCTTGGGGCCGAGTTGTGGTGTTTTAGTCTCGGGTCTTTCTTTGGGCTTCTGGGGCTTCCAAACATTTTCCGAGCCATTAAGAAACTTCGAGGGCTGCATTTGCGTGCCAGTTTGGGGCAGTAACCGGCTGGAGAGAAATGTCTTGGTTCCTGAAGGCAGAGCCCAAGGGAACACGGTGGAGGCAGACCTCTTACTAGCCTTAGATGCAGCTAAGATAGAGCTCAGGATGCAAGCGCCCCAGCTGCTCAAAGCCTGGAGTTCTCAACTGGACACTGGTGCATTGTAGTCTTCCGGTGTCTCGTATTTGCCTGGCTAAACCGCCGATGCAGATTACGAAAGGCCACCGGAGAGGGTCTCCAGTGATACAGTTTTCCCATGACCGGGACAAGCAGGGTGGGAACGTCCCCATCGCTTTCGAAGGCATCAGCTGAGGATTCTCTGTGCTCGAGAAAGGTGGAACCGAGGCCATACAGAGTCCCTCAATCCTGGTGATGCCTGTCCCCAAACCTCAGCGCTCTTCTCCCACACTGTAGAGCACATTGGCGCAGCAACCTCTTTCCGAAGGAAGAAAACCGGGCTTGGGTTTTAGAATATATAGGAAATTGGTTTAGGAAATCAAGTCTGATTAATATCCTAGAGCACAAAAGCAGCATTTGCTACTTATATTTATTCGTTATTTATTTCCTATTTTTTTGTATAATGCATTTGATCATATTCCAACTCCTTCCAGATCCTCCCAACCTCCCTTCCCACCTAACTTCATGTTCTTTCTCCCCACGCCAAAAAAAAAAAAAAAACAGGAAAAGCAACAAAATAGCAAAAACAAAATTAAAAAAGAAAATCAGTAAGAGAAAAAAAATGCCAAAACAAAACAAAAATAGCACAAAAATCGTGGCGTCTACTTTGTATTGACCAACCAACTACTCCTGGGCATGAGGCCTGGCCTGGAGTGTGGTAGATATATCCAGTTATATATACTCCATTGGAGAAAGTTAACATTCCTTATTCCCAACAAGTATCAATTGCAAATAGCTTCTTGGCTAGACAGGAGTTTGTGTTCACTACCCATTTTCAGTGCTGGGATTTTGTCTGATCTGAATCTGTACAGGTCTTGTACCTGCTGTCAGAGTCTCTATGAGCTTGTATTCATATCAGTTTGGTCGTGTCTAGAAGACCATGATTCCTCAGAGTCATCCAGCACGTCTGGCTCTTCTGTTCAGCTCCATGAGCCCTGAGAGAGGGGATTTGATAAAGACATCCTATTTAAGGCTAAGTGCTCCTAAAGCTCTCTCTGCACATTGTCTAACTTTAGACCTCCTTGTTAATTAACATCCATGAAGAAGAAACTGCTCTGATGCAGGCCGAGTGATGCGCTGCTCTTTGGGTGTAGCAATATGTCATTAGGAGTCATGTTGTTGTATTTTCCTTTAAAAAATTATTTTATGTGCATTGGTGTTTTGCCTGCATGTATATCTGGGTGAGGATGTCAGATCTTGGAGTTATAGACAGTTGTGAGCTGCCATGTGGGTGCTGGGAATTGAACCCAGGTCCTCTGGAAGAGCAGTCAGTGTTCTTAACCACTGAGCCATCTTTCCAACCTCTAGTATATGTTCCTTTAGCTGAAAAATAATAGTGGATGTCCTGTTAGGCATATGATTCATCCAATCTCGGGTACTTGGCCACTTTAGCAGTATCATATATAGGTCCCTTCTGATAGAGTAGACTTTAATCCAATCAAAATGTGATTGATTATTGATTATTCCTAACAATTGTGCCAGTAACGCATTCTTTGGTTTTTTGAGACAAGATCTCTTTATGTAGATTGTGCTGGCCTTAAACTCATAGAGACCCACCTGCCTTTGCCTCCCGAGTTCTTGAATTAAAGACATAACCACCTTGTCCAGTTTCTCATGTACAAAAAAAGCTTATCTTGCTACCGTTGTATGATCGAGCACATGCATTTGCCAGGGCACAGGGGTGGAGGTCAGAGGACAAGTTTGTGGAGACAGTTCCCACCTTTATATACATTTCAGGGATTAAATTTGGGTTGTGAGACTTTCGAGGTAAGTGCCTTTACCAGCTGAGCCCTATTGCCATCCCCAATTCATTTTCTTATTTTTTAACAGTTTATTTTATAAAATGTTTATTTTTTTTTGCTTTTATCATGGTTTAAACACATTCTATAGGCAAAAAGTAGATGCGCACAGTAAATGTTACAGTGGGCAGCATCAGCCTTTACATTGTACTCTCAAGTCTGGTCCGTATTCTCTTTTGTTCATTTGTTTGAGATAAAGGTCTCTGTGTAGCCTCGGCTGGTGAATTAGTCACTGTTCTGTTGCTGTGAAGAGACTATGGTCACAGGAACTCTTATACAGGAAAGCATTTAATTGAGGGCTGGCTTGCAGTTTCAGGGGCTTTAGTCCATTATCATCATGGCAGGGAGCATGACAGCAGGCAGGCATGGTGCTGGAGAAGTAGCTAAGAGCTACATCCTGAACTGTAGGCAGAGAGAAAGAAACAGAGACAGAGACTGAGAGACTGGGCCTGGTATTGGCTTTGGAAACCTCAAAATCCACCCCCAGTGACAAACCTCCTCCAACAGGGCCACACCTCCTGATCCTTCTCAAATAGTGCCACCTCCTTATGACTATGCATTCAAATATATGAGCCTGTGGGGGCCATCCTTATTCAAACCACTTAAGCTGGCCTGGAACTTGATATGTAGACCAGGCTGGTCTTGAGCTGCCAGACACCCCCAGCCCCACTTCTGTGTTGAGATCAAATGTGTGTGCCACAACCCAGCTCTGTGTTCTGAAGTTCTGTTCTGAGGCAGTCACATCATTTGGAAGTGTATTGGTCCTTTCGGGTCCTGCCTTTTAAAATTTCTCAGGCAGGGCTGCCACAGTGCTTGATGAGAGTCAATTCTCTCAGGCCAGGCCCTCTGTGCATTTTGCCCATAACCCTTGACCTCAGCTAGACTTGGGGAGCATTGTGGGAAGACCTCCTCCCCCCAAACTTACTCAGCTTTCTGACACTAGCACAAAATACCTAAGCTAGGGCTTCCAACATTTCAGTCCACGGTCCCCTGGTCCTGTTGTTTCTGAACCTGTCGGAACATCACGGGAGGGAGTATGTGACGGATTAAGGCTGTTTATTTTGTGGCAGCTGGAAGCAAAGGGGATGGGATCAGAGACAAGACGCCTTCTTCAAACAAAGAGTCCAGGAATAAAATATAGAAATAAAGGGTCCGGTCTAGGAGTGGCATTGGCGGTGGCGTGAGTGGTGGATCACACAATGCCAGCTCAGCAGGTGTGATGAGTCCCCAAGAGCTTTAGGATGGGATGGTTGACCTCCCTGGGTATCAAGGGCTGCAGCTTGGGCAGTTTTTCTTGTGCCCTGTGGCTCTACCTTCTGTGAAGGCAGGTCTGTGTGTCCATCTGCCCCGCTTCCCCTCCATTCCACCATGGGCCAGTGTAGCAGGCTTTTTCTTTTGGGCCACCAGCCAATTCCCAAATCATGACTCAGAGACTTAATATTAGTTGTGGATGCTTGGCCTTATCTTATGCTCGTTTCTTGCTAGCTTTCGTTTCATAACCTAACCTGTTTCTCTTCATTTACATTTTGCCTCGGGGCTTTTTACCTTTTTTTCTTTCTGTATAGCTTACTTTCCTGCAGTCTTGATGGCTGGCTGGCTTCTGGCCCAGGTGTGACCCTCTTTTTCTCCATCATTCTCTCCTTTCCCCCTTTTTCTTCTCCTACTTATTCCCTCTGCCCACCATCCCAGCCTATCCCTCTTTGGCCTAGCTATTGGCTGTTCTGCTTTTTATTAGACCTATCAGGGGCCTTAGGTAGGCAAGGTGAAACAGAAACACAACTTTACATACTTAAACAAGTGCGGCATAAACAAATGTAACACATCTACACATCTTTACATAGTTAAAATAATACTTCACAACAAGGCCAACTGGGCTCCAGTGTCTACTCTGGGTATCTTCAGATTGTTTAACTCTTGTTGGTCAGCCCCTAATACACAGGTGTGATGCAAAAAAAAAAAAAAGTCAGAATTATTCTTGGGTATGTAAGCCCAAAAAGAAGCTGTTTTTTAAGACACTGAAAAAGAAAATTACAATCAGTGCTTAAAAAATGGAATCAAGAATATATTTGTGGTCTTAATAGGTGACAGCCCTACATCCCTAACCTCTGGAGGGGCTGGGGTTTGGGCATCAGCCTAGGACATCCCTTGAGAGTAATCCCAAGAGGGGATCTCTCACCTACAGAGAAGCAGTGTAGCCTTTCAGAGAGGGAAAGGAGGAGCATGCACCCCGCCATGTGACAGACAGCACAGCTCCTCCCATTCCTGAACTTCCAAAGTTCTCACAGTCAATAGCTCCCAGCCTGGGCTTAACTCTACCCT